AGACGTGACAGGCTTTCTTTGCAGTACGCTATCAAGATAGCACCATTGCCACAACATCCTGCTTACTGCCCTCGTGCTGTTTCTTCTTTTGGAGTCCGCATTCAACCCCTTATGTCAGCGACTGGTGTAAGCCACGACAGTATTGCGGACTTTGCCATGACCACTCTTCCACCTTGGTCAATTGCTCCACTCCAAATAGACTTTAGTCTATTGAGCAACAAGAAGTCACAGACAAGCTCTGTTGTCTTCAAGTCTAAATTTCTTGAACTAAGGTCTAAATATGGGGATTTTTCTTCTTTCTATACAGATGGGTCTAAGGATGGTGATAAGGTAGCAGCCGCTACAGTAACACAATCCGAAGTTCTATCTGTAGCTCTTCCACCAGCAGCCTCAATATTTACTGCAGAACTCATTGCCATTTTACAGGCACTTGAGTTTTTTTCAGTCCTCTACATCATTAAAAAAATGTATTATATTTTCTGATTCTTTGTCCTCATTACAAGCTATTAATAACATCCAGCTTGTACATCCAATAATCGGGGATATATACAAGCTCTCTGGGCCGAAAAAGGACATTGTCCTTTGTTGGCTCCCCAGTCACATGGATATACGGGGGAATGACATGGCAGATGCGGCGACTAAGGCTGCTTTGTCACTGCCTGTCCTGTCCCCCCCCCCCCCTTTTCTTTGCCTTTCACAGATTTTAAATCGTTGATAAGGTCATTTATTCAACATCAATGGCAGCAAAGATAGGATGCTGCAGACACTAACTACTTCATGCCATTAAGCCTCTCCTAGGAGACTGGCCCTCCATCTATTGTGCCAACAAGAAAAATGAAGTTGTTTTGTGTCGCTCTCGTCTTGGACATACCTCACCAACTGTTTTTTGCTCAAGCGAGAGCTTCAACCAGTCTGTGAGCACTGCCAGATCCGCCTGACAGTGAAACACATTCTGATTGAGTGTAAGCATCTCAAACCTATAAGATCACAGCACTACCGTGCTGTTTCTTTATTTCAGCTTTTTGCGCAACCTTCTCTTTATGAGAAGGTTGTGGCTTTTTTAAAACAAGCAGGTCTTTATTTTAAATTTTCAATAGATAAGTCATTGTTTGTTTTAAATATTTTGTTTGTGGTGTATTACCTGTGAGATTGTTTTTAGTTTTTTTGTTGTTGTCACTATGTGACCTTTCTGTTAAATCGATAGGTGTTTTATTGTTTTTGTTTTTTCATTATCTTAACGTAGAAAATTCTGGAGATATATAGCCCGTTTGGTGCTGATGCTCCTTAATGCATTTCATTTCATTTCATTTTATTAAACTATTGTGGTTTTTTTTTCAGGGTAAGTTTAACACCAATTTAACTAAAAGAAGTGAAATGAAGTTTGTGTACTAATTAGCTGTTGATATTTCAGTGCATGAACGCCAGAAACACCAAGTAGTATAACATGTAGTTTGAATAATCATAAAAGTATTCACAAGAAGTATTTTATGCCACATAGAGAAAATACTTGCTTTATTTGAATGTTATGTTTATTGATTAGAAATCATTATGTGCTGATTGGCCAGTAATGTAGAACTATTAGAACGGAAACTGAAACATGTTGTTACTTAAGGGGAATATTTAAGGGGTTTGATTTGGGTCATGAATTGATGGTTCAAACGTTGATAATCATAAAAAAACACATGGATTTGAAAGTAAACATTTGGATGATGAGCTTGAAGACTATTAATGATGAGCTTAAAAAGGCTAGAGCTGGATTTTAAGGTGTTGAATTGGACCTTTTAATATAATTAAATTAGAATTACTCAAACTGTACGACACTAGAAATTGTATGTTTTATTTTTTCCTTCAACTGACTTAGGCAAACTATGTTAAAATTGGAATTGGGATGTTATGTAGACAATAGATTTAATTTAACTTTATATGTAAGTGTTAAATTAGTGCAGTTGGATGTTCTGTTTATTGAAAAGAATTAAAAGAATTATGTAACAAGTCATCAGGTGTATAGACAGAGGTCATACAAGTGTGTTGTCAGTGTTTTTTGACAACAAAACCTTTACTTCTTAGCCTGCAATGGCTATGTAACAGTCTTTTTCAAGACTCAGAGAATGATCAGAGTTTTTGGATTATTCTCAGTTTACTTCATAACCGGTAATGGCTATGCAAAAGAACATGAACTCTGCCCACTTGTTTGTTCATTGTATGCCTATTATAATTTAGTGTACCCCTATATTATTATAGCCTCGGTTATCCAGACTAGACATAATGTTTCATTGTTTAAGATACCACGTCTCCCATCATACTCGCTCTTATAAACAGTGTAATTATTACAAATGTATGGAATAGTAGATATACCTACTTTCCTTAAGTATTTCAAAGAGCATGTGCGTCCATGCTCAAGCTAAGTACAAACCACTGTGATAATTGCACCTTATAATTTAAATTTTTGTAACTATGGCTTCGGCCTACATTACTTGAATAAAGAAAATTATTATTATTATTATAGTTTTAATCTGATTTTAATTAAACTGGGTGTGCATGTTTATATTGATAAATGTGTGAATTAATGAAGTCTTGGTTTTTTGATGAAATCCAAGCAATTTCAATAAAAGATTTATGAGTTAGCCAAAATACATTAAAATTAGGTGTTATATTGGAATTTGATGGCCATGATTTACAACAAACACTTTTTGCTGAGAAAATAATGAAAGCTGCCATGAATTTTACTGATGTGTGGGCATATAGCCTTTTGGGCGTCCGCTCGTTAATTCATTTGTAGGCTTAAAGTCACATGTAAAATGTTGATTTTATTTGCAGGTTGTTTGAGAAGAAAAAGGAGAAAACGGATATTTAGGGGGACTGATCCACCCCTATCTGAAGTGATCAAACTTACCTAGATTGAAAAATCTAGAACACACCTAGAGAAATCTAGCCACACCTAGAGAAATCTAACCGCACCAAGAGAAATCTAGCCACATTTAGAGACATCTAAACGCACCTAGAGAAATCTAGCCACATTTGGAGAAATCTAACCGCACCTAGAGAAATCTAGCCAGATTAACTAAGAAAAAAAAAACACCTATTATTTGCTTGCCTAAGAAAAAGCACCTCTCATTTGCTAACTTAAAATATAATCATCTTAAAGTTGAAGAAATACAATTATAAGCTGCTAGTTTCAATTGCACCAATAGAAAAAAATCCAGTACATGGTGTAAAGGTATTTATTTGATAGATTATGTGTAAAATAATAGTGTCTGTAAACATATAAACAGTAATAAGTTATTTATTATACACAAAGCCATGGGTCGTCCGAAAAAATCAAAAGGTAATCGTTTGGCTAACTTGAGAGAAGAAGGAAAATAATAAAACTGATAAAGGCATGAGTATTGAAAAAAAGGAAAATAATGATGTTACAAATGCAATATCAGGGAGCGCCATTGATAGCTTTCATGTTGCAAATGAGAATTTACATGCAATTTTGAAATAGCTCTTTCTTGAATGAGTGTGTAAATAATTCAAAAAGTGAACAACAGATCAGTGAGAGGAGAATTGATAGAGATAAAAAGAAATGTATATTAGGTACCTTTAATCAGGGTAGTATAGACAGATTGATCTTGATCTTTTTGAAAGTCTACAAACATGCTTAAGAACATATGAATCTTGTTTTGTGACATTTAATGGAAGCACTTTTGCTATTATTAAACATGATGATAATTATTTTGAGCTTGATTCACATTCAAGAAACAATTTAGGATTATTATCAGAGGATGGCAGTAGTATTCTATTAAAATATAATGATATCAATGATTTGTATGTACATTGTATATATTGAAGTGTATCAATGAATATGAATAGGTTAGAGCTATGTGAAATAACTGGTATCAATGTTAATATGATAGGTAATGAATCAAATAATCCAATAAATGATGTAAATAATTCTGCTAATGATAGTGTCAGTATGCAAGTTGATGATTAAATAGAATCACACAGTCAAAATAATGATACTGATGAGGTTGTTATAATTAATGTAAAAACAAGTGATTTTATATTTAATCCACTTAGTTTAGAGAAAAGAAAAAATCTATGTCAATTGATCACTTTACCCGTTGAAAATTTACACAATGGTTATGTGGTTGAGATTTGTAACCTGACAAAACCCATTAAAATAATTACAATCAAAGGAGATGGTAATTGTTTGTTTAGAAGTTTATCATTTGTTCTTTCTTTATGTGAAAATAATCATAGAAAAGTCAGACTTGCTATAGTGAACCATATAAAGTCGAACTTAGATATTTTCACACCTTTATTAACAGTAACAATCTATTTATGACTATGTCAAACGATCTAGGATAAGACTACCAGGAAAATGGGATACAGAATTTGAAATATTAGCAGCTTGTGATTTGTTACAAACAGATATATATATATATTTTTACTAATAATAAATGTTTGAAATATCCCGTATTACAGATTAGCAATAGTTATACACCAGAGGCTATTTATCTTCACCATAAAGATGAGAATCATTATGAAAGTTGAAAATGTAGAGTTTTATATTTATTGATGATACTGTAGATACACAACACTCAGGTAAAAGAAAACATTTGAAAAAGAAACGAGGAAATAGATGGAAACCTATAAGAAAGCGAACCATGTATTTTCAAGACAATAATTTAGGAAAAAAAAGTCAGGATAAACTTGAAACCTCTATTTAGAAGCAAAAAAGAAATTAATAATTTGAATAAAAGGATGAGAAGACAATATGTGATCAGTTATCCTAAAGATCATTTGAAAAGGAAATATTTAAGTGAGTTAAAATTTTTATTACATGAAACAGAACTTAAACCAGATCTCCAAGCTAAATATCAAAATGTGTTAAAACCAGATCTAAAAGACAAATATCAAAATGTGTTAAAACCAGATCTAAAAGACAAATATCAAAATGTGTTAAAATCAGATCTAAAAGACAAATATCAAAATGTGTTAAAACCGGATCTAAAAGACAAAACCAATTCTTACGGATAAATACCACACTGTTTTTAAACCAATTCTTACAGATAAATATCACACTGTTTTTAAACCAATTCTTACAGATAAATATCACCCTGTTTTTAAACCAATTCTTACGGATAAATATCACCCTGTTTTTAAACCAATTCTTACGGATAAATATCACCCTGTTTTTAAACCAATTCTTACGGATAAATATCACCCTGTTTTTAAACCTATTCTTACGGATAAATATCACCCTGTTTTTAAACCAATTCTTACGGATAAATATCACACTGTTTTTAAACCAATTCTTACAGATAAATATCACACTGTTTTTAAACCAATTCTTACAGATAAATATCACACTGTTTTTAAACCAATTCTTACAGATAAATATCACCCTGTTTTTAAACCAATTCTTACGGATAAATATCATCCTGTTTTTAAACCAATTCTTACAGATAAATATCACACTGTTTTTAAACCAATTCTTACAGATAAATATCACCCTGTTTTTAAACCAATTCTTACGGATAAATATCATCCTGTTTTTAAACCAATTCTTACGGATAAATATCACCCTGTTTTTAAACCAATTCTTACGGATAAATATCACCCTGTTTTTAAACCTATTCTTACGGATAAATATCACCCTGTTTTTAAACCTATTCTTACGGATAAATATCACCCTGTTTTAAAACCAATTCTTACGGATAAATATCACACTGTTTTAAAACCAATTCTAAAAGACAAATATCATCAATTTTAAAAGCTATTCTCAAAGATAAATATGATAAAGTTTTAAAGTGTCAGTTAAAATTGAAATATATATAAATGAATTGAGAATTAAATATTAAATGAATATAGAAATATGTATAGAACTAACTTGGAATATAGAAATAAACAAAAACAGAGAGCCAGAAAGAATTATAGCAAGGATAAAGTCTAGGTTGGTTTGTAATAGATTATTGTTTGAGAATCAGGTTAAAGAGTGTCAAGAAGAACTTTATGAAAAGAAAAGTAAACTAGTAGAAAGATTAGCAAAGAAATGTATAACTAAAACTTACTAACATGTTTGCGAGGAAAACTGTTTGAGTGGAAATTGTCCATGGTCTGATAATTATAAAACTCTGTGGATATGTTTAACATGTAATAAAAAAAATTCCACAAGGTAAAATGATGTCTGCAATGACCAACAGACTTATTCTCTCAGTACTTTTATTTTTATCTTGGCCACACAGGTGCCTTTTATTAAAATCCTGCAATAACTTTATTTATTGTTTAGTTTGATACTTATTTTCAACTTAACTTGTTGAATTATTTATATGGATATTGTATTAATCTCATTATTTGTTACATAAAGAATTGTAAGACTGGAGTGTGACACATTTGCTGACTAATCATAATTCTATATTTGAATGAAGTATTTTCCATTTTTATTCGATTTTGAAAAAATGAGCCCTAAAAGTCCTGGCCAATTTTTTCTTAATTGCACACTGCAGAATGTTGCTCGCCACCAGTGGCTCAATAAATTACACGAAGAAGGCGGTTAACTTCAATATTAATTAAGAACACATCGTAACACTATATATGATATTTAGTTTATAAAAAAACTTGAATATAGAATATTACACTGATGGATTCAAGACTTTTGACATGTTATGACATTGCAAAGAGTTCAATGAAGCATGTAGACCACAAAAGGTATATTATCAGTAGTATATGAGCTCATAGATTGGTCGGATTTTTCCACATTCCATTTCAATTCATGGGAAAAATCCAACCAATCTATGAACTCCCAAAAAACAAGACCTAAATTCCCAACATTTCATAAATTCTTACAGCAAAACACTCTACATTTCATAAAACATCCTAAATTCCCTACATTTCACACACCAAAAAAATCACCTTCAATCAATTTCCTACATTCCATCAAAAAAAGCAGATAAAAAAAGGAGATAACTCTTTTTTGAAATTTTCTACTCAAATTTTAAACTTTAAAAATGGCAAATAAAATACTAGATCCAATCTTTAGATTATACGATCCGATTCGTTATTCATTGAACAAGAAAAAAGAGGATTATATTATCATCTCACCGACTGTTGGTTCTAAATCCCAATTGAATGATGGTGGTAGAATTATCTTCGAAATAAATTCATTAGCGAATTAGTTGCTTCTTTCCGATGATTACTTCAGATGTGATTTCAAAATTAAAGATGGAACTCAGAATCAAGTTCCACAATCAAATACAACTTTAGAAAACAATTTCTTTCCATCTTTATTTAGCGAGATGGTTTTGGAAGCTGGTTCAAATCCGATAGAAACAATCAAACACCCTGGGTAATTCGACACAATGTTGAAAACAGTTTTATATCCTAAAGATTTCGATTCAGTCTCGGGTTGGATACCCGATGTTGGTGATGGAAGTGTTTTAAAAGAACCGGTAAGAAATGTTGCAAATGATGCCGATATATATAGAGTGAGAGTTGTTGCTCGAAACACAATAGAAAGAGTAGGACGATGCAGTTAATCATGCATTCGAAAAACGAGTACTTCAGTATAATAATGTTTTTGAGAATAATAGGTGGGGTAATTACGTAAATTGGAAATTATATCCTTTATTCGGTCTGTTGGAACATAGAAAAGTTTCCATAGGATTACTATATAAAATTCATCTACAAAGAGAAATCAACGATGATAAGATATTCTTTGGAGAGAATGGTTCAGATGCAAAATTAGAAATAACGAATCTCCAACTTTTCATACCCGTAATAACACCATCAATTGAAGTAGAAACGAGAATATTCAACTCGTTAACTAAAGATATTGAAATAGCTTTCCTTCATCGTAACACGGCCAATCACTAACACTAAAGGTTCAGGAGTTGGAGATATGATAGGCACAATGAAAGAATTTGGAAAAAGATTTAGTGAAGAAACCAAGAAAACTGTTAAACAAGGATTAAATAAATTAGTAGATAGTATTGACACAGGAGAAATCAAAGTCAAACATAAGGGTAATGGAATATTTTTAAAAAATATACGCACTGGAGAAGGAATATATCTTTCAAAGTATAAAGGAGAAGGAGCAAATTAAAATAATAAAAACTGGGTAAAAAATTCAATCATTCAGAAATATTTCCTAATAAACAAATGCTCATGTGTATATGTGGTAGTTCCGGTTCTGGGAAAACTCATCTCACTTTTAACATGTTGACAACACCAAACCTTTTAGATTTCGATTCTTTATATATCTACACAACAACACCAGAGCAATCGTATTCTCAATTTCTCAAAGCTTTAGAATACCTACCAAAGAAAGATGTTCAAGACTTATTTCAATATTACAAAGAAAACGAAGAAGAAGTGGAAATAAAAGATATCTTAGATAACTACATCGAAGGAAAGAAACCAACGGATATAAAAGTTTTTCTTACGAAAAATGTTAATGACCTAGACTTGTCTAATATTGATAGCAATCGAAAGAACCTAATATTGTTTGACGACTGCGTAGCGCAAAGAAATCAAGCTGTTCAACAAGAATTCTTCACGAAGGGAAGACATCACAACTGTCACTGCATATAGCAATCCCAATCTTTTTACAGGATGGATTCTATGTTTATTAGAAAAAATGCAAATTGTTTTTTATTATTTGAATTAAACGATAAAGATTTATCTCAAATCATTCAGTCGATAAATCACGGAATGGACAGAGATGCAATTAAAAAGGTTTGTAAAGCTCAATGGAAAAACCCAGATGATCATGGATATATTGTTGATTGTTTCGTTTTGTGTTACATTTATCAGTTAACAAATGTACACAGCCTAAATAGTAGGTCTGTCCCTTGAATAAAAAACGTGTCGTATTATTTTACCTAGCTCTCAATCAAAAAACCAAACAGTCCACTAAAGACAACATCATTCCTGCTAGAATAATTGCAGTTGTCAACATGGTGGCTGGAGTGGCTAACAAACCGTTATTTTGTTAGTAAAAAAGTGGAAGAAACTGTTTGTAACTGTATTGACATTTTTTGTTCTGGATTGTTCTGCAACCGAGGAAAAAGATGGCGGCTGAGACGAGTCATTTCCGATTGCCACCGACACTGAATATCACTGATGGAAATGTTGCAGTAAATCATAAGAAGTGGAAACGGCAAGTTGAAGTTTATTTGATGGCTTGTGGGGCCACGGAAAAATCAGCTGACACTCAAGTTGCTATCATTCTCAACTGTGCTGGTGGTCATATTCTGGACATATTCGATCAATTTCAGTGGGATGCAGAAGAAGATAAGAAAAACACTGTGAAACTTTTTCAAAAATTGGAAGAATATTGTAATCCGAGACGCACTGAAGTTGTAGAATCATTTCGATTTTGGAATCATAAATACTAAGAATCAGACAATTTTGACACTTTCTTAACTGAGCTTAGACAAGGTCCGATTCTTGTAATTTTGCTGAAAGAGACAGAAATATCAGAGATAAAATTGTGTTTTCAGTGACTGGTAAATTACAAGAATTGCTTTTAAGAGAAGAAAATCTGGATTTGACCAAAGCTGTAAAAATCTGCAGAGCCTATGAACAATCCAATAAACATGTGAAAGAATTAAGAGAAACATTAGGCACAAGTACGTCTACTCATAGAGTGAATCGAGTGTACAAAGAAGATAGGAAATCTACTAATTTTCCATCCAAGAAAGCAACGCCAAGAACAAGTTCTGGAAATACTTCATCTTCGGCGAATCAGAAGCCTGGACAACAGAGACGTGGTCAGGAACATTATAATGAGTGTAATTTCTGTGGTTACCGTCGTAAACCAGATAAATCAAATTGTCAAATCAGTGACGACGAAGAATTTGATGATAGTTGGCTTGCTGTAGTGAAGAAAAGTCGCAATGGAAATTTTGTTACTGCCTGTATGAACATTAATGATTTGGAGGTCAGATTCCATTTAGATACATCCTCTGATGTCAACACGATTAATGAAAAGTATGTTCACAAGAAGCAAATCAGGAAAACCACAACTCGTTTGTTAATGTGGAATAGAACTAACCTAAATCCAATAGGTGAAGCTGAATTGACCGTCATCAATCCACGTACAAGTGAAGCCCACAAAGTACTATTTATCGTTGTACCTGATAATCTAATGTGTCTTCTTGGCCTGAAGGCTACGCAAGAAATGGGTCTAATAACATTTAACGATGAGAAGTTTATATCAAGTGTTAAAGTTGAACCTCTTGGTAATCTTGGTGAAGTTAGCCTTGTAGTAGACTCAAATGTTCGAGAAAAGGCGTTACCATGCCGAAAAGTTCCGCTTTCCCTGGAAGAGGAAGTGAAAAAAGCTATAGATGTTCTAGTCGAAAGAAACATTTTAGTTCCTGTTACCGAACCAACAAAATGGGTGAGTCAAATGACAGTTGTTCGTAAACCTACTGGAGCTCTCCGCATATGTATCGATCCGCAACCATTGAATTCTGCTCTGATAAGAGAATATTACAAGTTACCAACATTAGATGATGTTTTACCAAAGCTACACAACGCACAGATATTCTCGAAAGTCGATGTTCGTTAGGCTTATTATCATTGTTGCCTAGATGAAGAGTCAAGTTTATTAACAACTATGATCACTCCATTTGGACGTTATAGATGGTCTCGCCTACCATTTGGTTTGAAAGTATCCAGTGAAATATTTCAACGCAAACTAATAGAAGTTTTGGGTGATTTACATGGTGTTTTCACGATAGCAGATGACATCATTGTCGTTGGATGTAGTTCTACTGACATAGAAGCCAAAAGAGACTATGAACGTAAACTTGCTAGTTTATACCAGAGATGTGAGCAGCAGAATATAAGACTCAATGATGCGAAGAAAGAAATAGCCCTGACAGAAATTTCTTTCAATGGTCATAGAATAACAAGAGATGGTGTGAAGGTTGACAATGCTAAAGTTAGAGCCATACTCGACATGAAACCACCTACTGATGTTTCTGGTGTTAAACGATATTGTGGTATGATCCAATACATGGCGAAGTTTTTACCTGATTTGGCAAGCACACTTGAACCAATTCGAGCTTTAACAAGAAAAGGCACTGAATGGTATTGGTCCAAAGAATGTGAAGATGCATTTCGCAAAACAGGCAAAATGTTAACTAGAGCACCCGTACTGGCTTATTTTGACATAAAGAAGGAAGTCGTCATTCAAGTCGATAGCAGTAAAGATGGAATTGGAGCTGTTCTCCTACAAGAAGGAAAGCCTGTAGAATTCGCATCTAGATCACTGACCGTTTCAGAACGCAATTGGGCACAAATTGAGAAGGAGGCGCTGTCAATCTTGTATGTGTTAGAACGTTTGGATCAATACACATATGGAAGACCCGTAAAAGTCCAAAATGATCACAAACCTTTAGCTGCTATATTAAAGAAACCATTAAGTAGTGCTCCTAAGAGATTACAAGACATTATGATGAAACTTTATAGATATGACATAGAGTTTGAATTCGTGAAAGGTGTAAATCTAGTCATAGCTGATACGTTAAGTCGAGCTGTTGATGATTCTCCAATGGTGGATGAAGAACGTCCAAGAATCATGAGTATCAACATATTTGCTGAAATACCTGATGAGAGATTACAGGAAATTAAAGAAGCCACAACGAAAGATGAAACACTGCAAGAATTACTTTTGGTGATAAGTAATGGATGGCCTGAACATAGAGATTCTCTTCCTGGTAATCTCAAACCTTATTTCGAAATGAGAGATGTTTTAAGCTATGAAGATGGAATTATTCTTAAAGGAGAAGCTATTGTGATTCCTAAAGAGTGTCGTGCTGATATAAAGAATAGACTTCATAGTGCTCATTTAGGTTATGATAGTATGATGAGACGTGCTCGTGGAACTGTATTTTGGTCTGGAATGGCCAAAGATATCAAACAGATGGTTGATTACTGTGAAGTTTGTCAGGAAATGAAACCGAGAAATCAGAAAGAGACTTTAAAACAACTTGATACTGTCAATCACCCATGGGCTAAAATTGGTACTGATTTGTTCGAAATCAAAGGTAGAAATTACCTAGTTTCTATTGACTACTACTCAAATTTTATAGAAGTTGAACTATTGACTTCAACAACTAGTAGTCAAGTGATTCAAAAATTTAAGAAACAATTTGCTAGATTTGGTATTCCTAAAGTGATCGTTTCTGATGAAGGTCCTCAATTTATTTCCTAAGACTTTAACATTTTCTGTAAAAAATGGGGTATCTCACACATCAAATCATCTCCTGGTCATCAAGCCGCAAATTTAAAGGAGAATCTGCTGTTAAACTGATCAAACCTATGATGATTAAAACTTTGAAGGATGGTGGAGATCAATATGAAGCATTATTAGAGTTGAGAAATACACCTCGTCAAGAAACTGGTCTAAGCCCTGCCATGACCGTCCAACAAGATCTTTATTACCAGTACTTACAAAGAACTCTGAAATTAATCCAAAAAGACTAACTCGTAAAGACTCTGTTCGTAAATGTTACAATAAACGTGCATGTGATTTAGTTAAATTAAGTGAAGGTCAATCTCTTTATTTTGAACACAAGCGAAATGAAATGTGGAAATTAGGCAAAATTGTTGCAATTTTAGGTGATCGCACTTATAATGTCATGAGTCGTGATGGCGCAATTTATCGCAGAAACCGTATTCATATTAGACCAACAAAATTGTTTGTAAACATAAGAGATAAATCTCCTATATTTGATCATGATTTTGATCATACAACCAATACTGACGAACCTGTTGTCAATCCTGGAAATGATACTATGCATAATGATATTCCAGTTGAGCTGTCAAACTCTAGTGCAATTAATGACAGACCTAAACGTGCTAAACCCCCTAAATACTAAGATTATGTACGATATAGATAGATTTTTGTAATTGTTTTCAATTGATAATTTCAGTGTTTTAGTTTCAATTTAAGTTTATTTTAACTATAGAATTTAAATCTCAAGAAAAAGAGTAGGTCTGGAGTTATGCCCCTTGAATAAAAAACGTGTCGTATTATTTTACCTAGTTCTCAATCAAAAAACCAAACAGTCCACTAAAGACAACATTATTCCTGCTAGAATAATTGCAGTTGTCAACATATATATTCGTTAATACTAGAAAACCTGCGGGTGAAAGAGTTATGACAGACATTTGTTAAATTTTATTTTTTTAAAAATGGATAATTTGAATAATATTTTAAAAAGAAATAAAGAATATATCAAAGCTAAGAATGAAATAAAGACCCAGGCTGAAAATAACAGAATACAACAACTCGGATTAACGGAAAATCTACAAACTCTATTTCAACCCATATTAAAATCTCAAGAGGATATTAAAAAGAAATTAGAACCTAAACAAATTCAACAATCACCGGTTCCTTCTCCTTATCAAATAGAATATCCCATTAAAGATGATGAAATCATAATTAGGTCATTATATGATATAAATCATTATTTTTCAAACCCTTACCCAAATTTACCAAAGACCATTTCACCAATCGTTGATAAAAAAGGTTTATTGTTTAATGGATTTAGAATACTATTTAGTAATGTTTACCCTTTATTCGAAATCGATAAAAAAGACTTTATATTTACAACAACAGAAGGATTAATAGATTTAATGAATGACGGGGATATTGAGATTGCCAAACGCAAGGATTTAGTAGAATACTTAAAATTTCTGTATATGATAAAGAATAAGCGCAAAACAAAAAAAGATTGATGGCAGTTGAAACATATTTAAATAAAGTTATTCCTGATGAAGAGGAATCAGATGATTATGCAGAAGATTATCCACCAATCATACAAGAAATAGATGAATTCGAAGATATGATATCTGGAGAAGGTATAACGTTTTTATCCGACAACGACGAGAAACTACTTAATAGATTACGAGTAATATTAGCGGCAATGAAGGAAGGACATCGATCGCACAGACAATATAATGAAGTAAATTGTATATTAAAAAGACTCCTAGAAAAAGGTATCATAGATAAAAATGATTATAAAAGCGTGATTAAAAATGTCAAATAAAGAACAACTATTCGTCATCACCTCAAATAAATCAGACATTAAATTATCTCTAGATTATGAGTACGAACTCGATCGCAATCAAGAATATGAATTGGGATTAAAGTATTTCACTGTTTACAATTCCATTAGAAATATCAACGAAAAAAATAACCAAATAAAAATATCAACAGATAACGGAGTTACGTTCAAAACCATACGTTTACTACCAGGAAGCTACGAATACATAGCCATTAACGAATACCTATCTGAATATGGAGGAAGTGTCAATGGTAAAAACAATATCGAATTCGAAGGTAATTTGAATCTGAACAAAATAAAATTGATATTAAGAAATAATAGTCAAGTTGATTTCAACGTAGAAAATTCATTGAATACGTTACTAGGATTTGATAAACGAGTATACACCCAATCCACTTTAGTACCACACAAAGCTAATATCGAGAATGATATCGATGTGATAAATATACATTGCAATTTGATAAACGGTGGATTTTTCAATAAATACAAACGTCAGATTATTTACAGTCTTCCAACATTCACTGTTCCTATTGGATATAGAATTATAGAGAAACCATTTCAAACGACGTATTTACCACTTAATTCCTTTATGATTAAAGATATAAATCTGGAAATTAAAGATAGTAAAAATAGGTTTATAGATTTTGGTAACGAGGAAATTGTTATTCAACTTCATTTAAAACAAAAGAACTAAATTTATTCTGATGGATCATCATTAGATATATTTGTAAAAAAATACTCAATATCATCAAATACATAATCATCATCCAAACACATCTCATCTTTGTTGTTGTAAGGATACATGATTCCTTCACTGTTTGGTGATTTTCTCTTAACGAGATTCAGATAACTTCTGAAAACTTTCTTTTGTTTTTCATTAGGAATAACTATTCCATCAGTAAAACTTTTTACCCAAGGTTTGTCAAATCCATTCGTTACGTCATGTCCGCTAGCTAATTGAATGTAGTCTTCTACCTTAATCTTATGTAACCCTTAAACGTTTTTATTTCTTTTTAAACACCTTCGGAAGTTAGAATGATATTGTATTTTACTTTTGGCGCTAAATATAAACCAAATATGATTCCACCATCACCATAATCATTCTTCCCTTTGCTATATTCGTTTTCAGACACCAACCCAGCTTCATTTAATTTATCCCAATTGCTAGACGAAATGTATAAACTATCGGTATCCGTATAGTATATTTCAGGCTTATAAAATCCTTCTATCACGTGAATGAAATTGTTCATTATTTTTTTACTGTGAGATAATATAAATGCACCTAAATGAGTGGATGTTAATCTAGTAAAATCCTTTGGAGGAACAAACTCTTTTTCTTCGTCATTAATCTCAACGATATATTGGGTCTCATTTACTTTTTCATAGCTTTTGACGTGTGAATCATAGTTGGCTTTTATAATCGCTTCACTCTATAGATGTCTCGATGTAGTTATATCCTTCTGAATAGATTTACCGTATAAGGAATTGCCTAATAATTTCATGCAATTACTAGCAACCATATCTCCTTCTGTTTTGTATTTATTCCTTAATTCCTTCAAAATTAAAATATAATCTCTGTATGGGGGAGTTTTAAAATTTTCTTCGTGTACTATTCCATCTAATATTTTAATAATTTTACCACAGGATTTCACTATTTCTTGAATATCAACTGATGTTAAAACGTCGTGACAGAAACCATTTCTGAACCTGATTTTACTCCCAGTTTCCTTCTTACCTATTCTATTCGTAAAAGTTATTTTATCTTTAGCTGGTATGGGTTAAAAGAACATGTTGGTAGGATATTTAAACCAGACTTTTAAAATAGCAGTTCTAGGTCTGAATTTCTGCTCATTAAAGAGCTTGACAAATTTTTCATTTTCCTCTAGTCGAAAAGGTCTGGCACTTTCCGCTTTAGGATATTCACCTTCTGTCATGGCGGAAGCGTACAACCCATTAGCGTCAAATGCCATCAGTTTAGAATAGTCCAGCTCTTTGAGTTTAGCATGAACTTCCGTTTCATCTTTTGGGTTAACACTGTATTCTTTGAATAAATTTATTATTCCTTCAGTGTCACTTTCATTGTATTTTTTTAATATGGGGCAGATCTCATTCATTTCATTTCCGTTTCAAATGATTTTCGATTTGCCGAAACTCTTCCTCCTTTAATACTTTGTCTGATAAAATATCTTATAAAAGGATGAGTGTGTGAGTAAATTTTTTCTATGTTTTCTTTTTCGGTGTGTTTCGGAACGAGAATTGTCCTTTCATAATATGGTTCTTCAACCATTTCTTTATCGTAATGATATTAATAATACCAACCCTTTAAAGATAAAGAAGGAGCCGTTAGATTATTGGAAACGTTTTGGAAGACAGTTTTTTTCATTGCTTGATTGTTATAAACAAGCTCCGAGACATAACGTATCTCTTTCAGCGTAAGTTTCCCATTCGTGTCTTAAAGGTTCCCAATTATCTTTGGTGTATTTTGCAATATTAATATCAGTGATCTTTCTCAAATTCATCGGTAGATTAGACGAATTTCCCCAGGCCGCCAAACTAGTGCTTTGATGTTTAAATGAACAGGTGAAAGATATATTTTGTAAATAGTTAGAGTTACTCATTATTTCTTTCTGTCTTTTCCATTTTTTCTGCAATCTTTCTTCTGTATATGGATTAGATAAAGGAAGAGATAGAATTTTATTATCTATTACTAGTGGACATTGCATTAGTTTTTTAACGCTTTGAAGTGCAATCCAGTTGTCAAAACCTAAATATTTCAACATTTGATCTATACAATCTGAACCTACAAATATTTCTACTATATTAGTCATGAGCATGTTGTAAAATTCTTTTGAAATGGGATCTGACGGCTTAAAATCTAGAGTCTCACTAAAATCACTTAAATAATTATTATTATCATCTAAGGTTTTTCTTAGTTTTTCCAAATTGACTTAAGTACAATAATGAATGGCTTTATTCGTTTCTTTTTCGCAATAGGTTTCGCAATCCCATGCGAATAAACAGTTATCGGATATGGTCAAAAAACGTTTAGTTTTAACTGTGTGAAACTCGTCAGCGCGTCATCATCTTCGCAGGTTCTCCACGTGTTTTCATTGTAATTATCTTCTATTTCTTTAATGCCCAAAGCTTTGTTATTTCTTCTTATCAAACAGAAATGTTCTTTGTGTAAATAAAATACCCAATCAAATTCCTCTAATACTTTCTTTGGTTGAAAATGACTGTCTTTAGGGTTATAGATTTGAAAATTAGTATTAAATTTCTTATTGAATTGAGAGATTCTAGCAGTTGTCATAACTCCTTTTCTGTTTGATTTTTGAAAACTGTTGATGAAATCTTGAAATTCCTTTGTTAAATCTGTGTTCGTGATGTAATTTACACACTTTATAAAACAATAACAATCGGTTGGTATGTAACAATTTTCTCGTATGTATTCATTTATCTTTTTAAGTAGGTTAACACCACTTCCCTTTTTTGATCTTTCTACTATTCTAAAATTATTTTTGCGGAAAATAATCTCTCCTGTAAAATACCAATCAGAGGAATTAGATGTATAATGCATTTTTGTATAAATAACTTGAAAAGTTTGAGCATTGAATCCAGATAATCTCATGTCTTGTTTGTATTTTCCTTTTTGATTTTTTTGACCATTTATTTCAATTTGGCCTTTAATTTTAAAATCCTTAAATAGAATAGTTATTCTCTTGATTAATTCTGAAAAAAGCTTATTTGAGGTTGATATTTTAATTTCATTCTCCTCTTTTTCAAAAACTCCAGCTACATCATCAATTATATATTCAAATTCTTCTTTATCTTTTTCACTAAATTTGGTTGAAAATATATTAGGTATTGAATTGAATATCAATAAAAAATATGTTTTAGATAATGGTTCGTTTAAATTTCCAATTTTATCCAATCTTTTTTTAAGTATCTATTTTTAACTAGGAATTTTTATTGATGATTTTTCATTGAATTTTTCTAATTCTTCAACTGATATGTTCTTGTCTTCTCTCGAAAAAAATGAATAATTTATTAAGATATGCATTTAAAATTTCCTTTTATAATGAGCTTTGATGTAAAACCTAAAGTGATCAATCCACAAGAACACCACTACCCTTTTTTATTTCTTTGAAATTGTTTTTACGGATAATCATTTTTCCTGTGAAATACCAATCAGAAGTATCAGCATCCAGAAGAAATTGACAAAAGTCATGGTATTAAAACCTACAAATTTTATGTCTTGTATGTATTTTCCATCTTGAGTTATCTCTCCATCTAATTCAATTTGTCCTTTAAATGTTATAAATTCATCAGAGATAAGGTCAATAACATTGGAAAAACGTTCATTTGATATGAATGTTTCATCGTCTGAAATTCAATTTTATCCATTCTTTTTTTAAGTATCTATTTTTAACTAGGAATTTTTAACTTTTATTGATGATATTTCTACATCAAATTTATCCAAAATTTCATTGAATTTTTCTAATTCCTCAACTGTTATGTTCTTGTCTTCTCTCGATCTTTCGAAAAATATAAACAATTTATTAAGATATGTATTTAAAATTTCTGTTTTCCTTTTATAATGAGCTTTCTGTTTTGATGTAAAACCTAAAGTAATCAAACCACAAGATGAAGTTTGAACGGCAGTGAACGCGGCTAATACAGTTGGGACAATTATTGGAAGCATTAATCCACCGGTTACGGCTGTTGCCACCGTTATTCCTCCTGTTAAAACTGTGCTTAATGTTTTGAAAACAGAATCGATTCTACTCCATATTTTTCTGCATTAATTTGTTGTTTTTTAATTGTTTTAGTTTTTCTTTTAGTTCGTTTTGTTTTTCTATCATGTATTTTTGTCTACTTTCGAGTTCCATTTTTAGGTAATTGAATTAAGTGAACTTCTGACAAAGCAAAAGATGGAAAGTGTTTAATATTAGGATCCCAAACTCCATCAGTCAGTTTAACTGGACTTTCCGTTTCCAATATCATATCAATATCACTCAATATAAATTCATCTTCTTCTTTATCTGCTATGATTAACATTCTAAATCTATCTATATATTTTCCACTCGTTTTAATTTCATATAAGTGATCACTCTTGGTGTTTTCATCGTTAATTTCTAATTCTTTAGTTTCTACATTTTTTGTATCATTGATAAACTGAAGAACTTTACGAGCGTTAAATTTTTCATGAGATATATGAGATTCTTGTCTGAAGAATATTGAATCAATTTTTACCTGAAAAGGAAAAGTTATTTCAATTGAAAGTTTTCCTCGGAAAACAAATTCTATTGGTTGATAAGGTAAATGATCATCATTATCAAAAATAAAATAGGGGTGAATAGGATAATTTGGAACAGAATATACTCTTATATTTGCTGTAAATCCATATTTTTTATATTCATACTCTTTTGATCTATCAATATTATCAGTAATGAAAGCATCATCACGAATCAAATCTCCAAATGGAAGATTTTTTTTTTTTTTTTTGGAATGATTCTTTTTTGAGAAACTTTTTTCTAATGCGACTATATTATTGTCTTGTTTCAAAATAGGTTATTAATAGTGGTTATCTGTTGTTGAATAACACTATCATCAATGTTCTGTATTTGTTGATGAATATAGGTTTTGATTTCGCTATCATCTATGTTTTGTATTTGTTGTTGAATATAGGTTTTGATTTCGCTATCATCTATGTTTTGTATTTGTTTTTTAATATTTGTTAGTTCTTTTTGTAATTCACTGTTAAGTTTAGTTTCCAGAGCATTTAATTTCTGTTGAAACGTATCTTCATTTTCATCTGGAATGTTATCTATCAATTGTTGAATGTCTAATTTTTGTTTTGCAATCTTATCCTCTAATTTAGATATTAATGAAATTAAATTTCGTAACTCAGTTTTGTTCGCTACGTTGACCAATTCTTTTTGAATAAAACTTATAATTCTTTGTACCTCTTGTTGTAGTTTAGTATCATTAACAAAATTTTTATTATTTAGTTGACGTTTGAAGAATCTTTTCACATTACTTATTTTATCTTCTAAATGGTTTTTATTTACTTCAATTGAATTTATTTGTTCCCGTAAATATTTCTTGTGAACGGCGTCATTATCGTTTTCCGGAGACTTTAAATTAGTTATGCTAAAATTGTTCATATCTAAATCACCTTGAAGAGTGTCTCCGATTTGATCCACAAAGTAAGGTTTATCCACGCTGTACTGTTAGGTTTTTTAGTTTCTAAACCTAATCCAAACTTATTCGCCATTTTTATTGAGTTAAATTTATTACAATTTCTTCGAATTGTTTTCCTAAACTCAACTGATATAAAACCCAAAGTGAAAGCTGACCACAAAACTTTTCTCCCGGTAATTGAATTTGAAATGTTGAACATTTGATTGGTTTATTAGTCAATTGGATTATCTTTTCAGTGGGTTCTAATCCGTAAGAATCGAAGAAATAAAAGTCTTCGTACAAAGCAGAATGATGAACTCCTTTTTGATCGGAAGTATGTATATTTGTTATAGCGTAAAATTTACCTTTCTTATATTTCAGATCATTTATTTCATCTCTCATACAATAATAAAACGGTGATATATTTAACTCATTCGCCCATCTCATAAGTTGAAAGTTTGTGGTTGTATCGGTTCCATATTTATCGAGAAATTCATTCATTTTTAAAAGTCGGTTTTTTTTAAATATATACGTAGTTTGTGTTTGAAAAAAATTGTATTACATTCTGATAAAACACATTCAATAATATTTTGAATATAAATTAAAATTTAAGAAAGCGAAAATGCTTGTCTACATCTCTTAATCTTCTATCGAATTCATTCATTTTTAAAAGTCGGTTTTTTGAAGTTCGTTTTGATAAAACCTTCCTATGATTTGTTCTTTGTCTTGATCGATTAATTCATATGTCGGAGGTGATGTGGTATTTACTTTATCAACGATGAATATTTCGTTCGTCCAGTATCCAACGTAACCTTTTTCGAATTTGCTTTTATATTTGAAAATACGAACTCGATCTCCGACTTTAAATTTGGGTTTGATATTTAAATTCTTTATTTCATTTTCGTAGTTATGTTGCGCGTTAATTGACTTTATAATATTTGGATTACTCGAGGCTTGTGTTGGTGTGACACCTATAGATGAATGCATTTTGTTATTGTATTCATCTACAACCTCTGGTAATATTTTAAGCCATTTTTGAGATTTCAATTCCGTGAACTTTTTGAATAATTTATTTTTTAGAGTCCTGTTAAATCTTTCTATTACCACAGCTTTACCTTCGTTATGCGTGCTGTAAATTTCAAACCCAAGTGATTTCATATTTTTGTTATAAAATTCACTTCCTTTATCTACCCACAGTTTTTCTGGATGTCGGTTAGATTATTTCATAATCGTTTCAAATGGGTGTTTGACTGATAATCCCGTTTTGTTTTTCAAAGGAATAACCCATACATATCTCGTACATAAATCTTTAACTGTTAAGCAATATTTAAATCCTCTTTCGACTGGCATATGAATTAAATCGGCTGACCATATTTCATCTTTTTCAAACACTTTTACTTTTAAAAAGTTTTTAGTTTTTCTAAATTCTTTGTGAATTTCATCCTCTAATCCCATGCCCAATTTCATCTTTGCTTTTAACAGTTTAATGATTTATGCTCTTTCAATTCTCTCTTTGAAAGTTGGATTTGGAATATTTTCAAGTTCGATTATCATTTGTCTGTCTGCTTCGTGTCTGAAGTTTATGTCTTTGTTTCTGTATAAAATATCATGTTTAAGCGCAGCGGCGTCAACTCTATTGACTGGTTCTTCCCCTGGTTTGGGTTTATCGTTTTCGTCTAATCGTAGATCTAACCTGGAACCTGGACCGGTGTAATTATGACCGGGAAGATGTTTTTCTCCGGGATATTTCGCCCATGGAAATCCAGGAAGAGAACCCAATTATTTTTGTATATCTCCTGAACCGAAATAAGTTTTTGGAGCGTGAACGACAATCATTTTTATCCTATAACTTTAAAACCTTTTCCTTTCCTTTCTTCTAATCTCCTGTTTCGAAGTTCTCTTATTAGTTCTAATTCTTTCAACTCGTTAGATTGTTTCACTGTGTCGCTTATACTCTTTCCCGCTTCCGCGATTCGAGCCGATGGCTTTCGCTCCGGTTGAAATGAGTGATTTGTTTTTTGAAACAAAACTAGCTACTTTTGGAATTATTGTTTTACCTAGAAAAAATAATGAAGAAAAGAAACCGTCGCCCGAATAATCTTCGAATCTGTGTTGCTCGTAATTAAACTCATCCTATTTTTAAATGAAAAAAAAAAAGAGTTATCTCCCTTTTTTCTAGAAGTTTCTAGACTAAAAATAACATTACTTAAAACGAGGCTATTAAAAACCGGATGTTAAGCGAAACAAGGATGTTATTTTATATAAGGGTATTTTTAATATGCTTTTTTTGATGGAATGTAGGAAATTGATTGAAGGTGTTTTTTTTTTTGGTGTATGAAATGTAGGGAATTTAGGATGTTTTATGACATGTAGGGTGTTTTGCTGTAAGAATTTATGAAATGTAGGGAATTTAGGTCTTGTTTTTTGGGAGTTCATATATTGGTTGGATTTTTCCCATGAAATGAAATGGAATTTGGAAAAATCCGACCAATCTATGAGCTCATATACTACTATTATCACCCCCGAGAGGTTCAATTCATGCACTTCGTCAGGAAAACCAACAACCAGAAGTAAAATCTCAGTTAGACGATGAAAAATATGTTCTATTATATTTGCAAGGGCATGACTTAAGTTTGCCAAGGCTTTACAAGTTTCAAAATATATACAGATGTATTAAATCTTAACTAGTAGCAATTATGAAAAACATAGATAGCTTGTTAAGCAAGACAAAATACGCCCACCGACACAAATTACATCAATTATAATATTACAAGATTTCACAACTCAATTACCTTTAACCTTGCTAAAGGGAAGGTCAAGAAGGCCAAAATCGCATAATATCAATCGGACATCAAACAAACTAAAAATAAATAACCAACGTCATAAACTATGACCCTCCAAAAGTTAAGGTCAATAAAGGTCAAAATCGAAAATTGAAAATATTGAAATTCTAAAACCCGTTCTTTTTTTTTAACTATAAAGCTGAAACAACTGAGCTGTTAACACAAACTAGCCAAAAGGATGTGGTATTTGTGTGCAAAGTACCTTTTTGAACAAACGTATCCCAAAATTTAAACAATTAGTAATTCAACCCGGATGTGCCACGCCCACCTCAACTTTTTTGTAATAGATGAATTCATATTCAAAATGTCTAGTTGTGTTCCAAATTTCTAGATTCTACATCAAATAGGTCATAAGATATACATACACCAAACTCAAAGAGACACATATGTTTAAAAAAAAAACCTCTCAAATTTGAAAAAATCACAAAATTCAATTTTGCTTTAAAAAAACGATTGTTATATATCAATGTAAAGTGCATGAGAAGCACATTAGGAAACAAAAAAATTAACCCTCTAGGTTAATTAGGTCACGTGCTAGAGCAGTCCAAAGTTGAGAAATTTTCATCGTTTAGAAGATTCCAATACCGGTAGTAGACGCCAGTCATCACAAATGAAAGTATCAGCAGATAGCCAAGGTCAGTGACCTTTGATCTTGTAAAGGAGAAGGTCTCAAATGGTCAAGATCAAGAGATATAAGTCATCAAAATTTCAAATTGCACATGGCTATAAAACCAGAAGTTGACATAGGACAGCTAATATAAAAGTATAAATAGATAGCCAATGCCAATGACGTTTGATCCTACAAAGGTCAAGGTCAATAAAGGTCAAGGTAAAAAATTGAAAATTTTGAATTTCCAAAACCTGTTCCTTTTTTGGAACTATGAAGCTGGAACATCTGACCTTCTAATACAAGGTGGCTCAAAACATGAGGTAATTGTTTGCAAAGTTCCATTTTGAACAAATGTATTCTTTGAGAGTTATGCCTCTGGCCAAAAAATGTCAATAATGAGTAATTTAACCCGGATGTGCACGCCCACCTCATTTATTTGACATAAATTAATTGATATTTAAAATGTTATCTTGCGTACCAAATTTCAAACTTCTACATCATAAAGGTCGAAAGATATAGGTCAACAAAGGTCAAAATCGAAAAATGAAAATAACCAAATGTTAAAACCCGTTCCTTTTTTTGGAACTATTACTTGTGTGCAAAGTTCTTTTTGAACAAATGTATTATATGCGAGTTATGCCCCTTCCCCAAAATGTAAATAATTAGTAATTCAACCCGGATGTGCCATGCCCACCTGTATTTTTTTGTTATAGGTGAATTCATATTCAAATTGTATATTTGTGTTTCAAATTACATGGTTCTGCATCAAATAAGTCATAACATATACATAACACCAAGCTCAAAGAGACAGAAATATTGTAAAAAAAACAATCGAATTTGAAAAAATCAAGAATTTCAATTTTGCTTTAAAAAAAGATTGTTATATATCTCTGGAGAAAGTATGAAAAGCACATTAAGAATCCGAAAAAATTAACTTTCTAATTTTTAATTAGGTCACGTACTAGAGCAGTCTAAAGTGGCGGATTTGGCTGTTTTCGGACATCCATAAAACCGGAAGTAGATGTCGGAGGACAAATATGAAAATAGCCAAAATATTACTTCTGGTCCGGATTTTATTTTCTTCGTTTTTTTGTCATAACTCTGCCTACCGATCAGCATAAATTTCGTTGGCCTATTTAAATTACACCGGAAGTTATTCAACCGGAAGTTGATTTGAAATTCAGTCGTTTTCCTGTCTTAAAGCGGAAATGGCGTACAAAATTGACTGTATCATATTATTTACATTAGTGAAGTCTCTTTTCATTTAAGATTTCAGATCAATCGATGCAAAAACAAAAAGTTGCAAAAAAATTGAAAAATTTGATCGGATTTTCGGATTTCGTAATTTTTCAAAAGCTATCAGGTCAGAAATTACACGTCGATTGTAAAAATGAAAACCCGAAGAAAATCGATGCAAAAATGCGCCTTCTAGAGCCGATTTTCGACTTTTTGCACATGTTAAACTGTGGCAGTTCCGGTTTTGTAAAAATGTTCCAATATATATTTAAGGAACACGTTGCCACTACGTAAGGTCTAGAGAAGTTGAATGGTTGCTGCAACTACTGCGAACTAGGCTCAGGAGGGTGTGTAAATTTCGAAAAAAAAGAAAAAAAAAGAAAGGACACTTCGATACTGGTAAAGTGTTGGTGGAAGGAAGTTGGGTAAATTGTTAATATACTCGTAAAGCATTGGTGTTGGGCGGTTGAGTAAATTGGAAATATGCCGGTAACGCGTTGATTCGGGGCTGTTGAGTAAATTGTAAATGTACTGATAAAGCATTGGTGGTGGGAAGTTGACTAAATTGTGATTATGCTGGTAAAGTTGGTGGAGGGCGGTTGATTAGCAGGGAAAGGTGGTTTTCTTATTAGAATTATGGGATCAGTTTTGGTGTCAGTTTTGTGATCATATATTGTTTGATAATTGACGCCACATAGGCTATTCATTCATACGACGTCACATAGGCTATTCATTCATACGACGTCACATAGGCTATTCATTCATACGACGTCACATAGGCTATTCATTCATACGACGTCACATAGGCTATTCGTTCACAATGACGTTGCCATCTTATAAATTGATGACGTAATTTGCATTATAAACCTCGTTTCGAGATTATTTTTTGTTAAAACACAGTTATAATACGTTACGTTTTCATTGCGGTTTTTTGTTTGATGGCAAAACGTTGAACAAATACGTCCAAGTTAACTTTCTGGTTTTTTTTTTTTATCAATTTTTCCTACTTTGGGTTGTTTGATTCATACGAATACATTGTAGGATAATACATGTCTATTACAATCCAGTATCAGACCAATAATTTTGTTACCAACGACGCTTTACTGCAGACTTTTTATGATTTTCAACGAACTCAATTGTATCAAATTGTCTATTCCAGTGTAATTAAATTTAAAAATGTTATGAAAAGCTATGATATCTGGTTTCATCCTCAGCTAAGTATAAGCAGAAAGATATTTAAAAACAGTTCTTAAGTAGGCCTACAGATAAGAATACTTAGTATTTTGTTGAACCATTTGAACCATTTCGCATAACGCAGCTCTGAAAGCCATAACCTTATTTTTCGTTATGTAAAATCAAAATATCGAAATACTCATCATATGATCGACAATGCAAGAGCAGCTGACTGGTGCACTTACTCTTATTCACTCAGGAAAATGAAAAGGTGTATTTCAAAAAAGCGACCGGTACTATTTTCTAAGGGGGGTGGGGGAAGGGGCTACGGGCCTAGGTTTGACAGGTGTGACAGGTGTGATAAGGACCCAGCTGTCCATGAGTTTAGTAGCACGTGTAGAATGATGTAATAATTTCAACTCGCCACGGTCCAGCGACCACCAGCTGGTCTGAGGTACACCACTGGCCAGCTCTAGATCATTTAGACCAAATCCAGGGTCATCTCCATCCCGGCTCATTCAACTCACCATGGTCCAGCGACTACCAGTTGGTCTGAGGAAAGAAATGAACAACCCATACCAGGTATAACAGGTGTGACAGGGAGCATGAGTTTAGTAGCACGTGTAGAATGATGTAATAATCTCAATCTTCTATGAAATAGAAATAAGGAATATGATAAACTAAGTACCAACGCAAAACGAAACCTGAAATCCAAATCAACATTTTCATTTTGGTGTCGCATTGGTTGCAGGAAAAAGAAAAGGTGTATTTTAAAAAAGCGACCAGTACATTTTTGCCCCTCCTCCTTGGCTACGGGGCTGTATAGACGAAAGCCTGTTCCCCAATCATTTTCATATTTATATGAATAAAAAAATTGTTTAGAAAAAAAAAATCATTGGCAACTCACAAATCACAGCTGTACAATATATTTAAATAAAGATGAAAAGATAAATAAAGACCTGTCTAATGAGTTGACATTAATTGTATAAATACTGACTCATTTCATCATTGCTTCATACAATAATTTGTATACAGTAATCATGCTTTCAATTCGAGTATTGGGTGTGTTCGCCGTTATTGTGGTCGCATTAGTTTTAGTAGAGTCTGACGTTGAACATTGTGAAGACGATGTGAACGGTAAGTATGGCGGTGTTAACTAGAAGTTGGTTTGAATGTGAACGGTAAGTATAGCCTTGCGGTGTAAATTAGATGCCAGCTCGAATGTGAACGGTTAGTATAGCCTTACAGCGTAAATAAGATGTTAGTGTTAGATGGTGATGAGAACATAGTCTCATGAAAGCACTGGCCTAGGTCACAATGTTAGTCTGAATATGAACGGTAAGTATAGCGTTACTGTGTAAATGAGATGTTAGTCTGCATGTGAACGGTAAAAATATAGCGTTACTGTGTAAATGAGATGTTAGTCTGCATGTGAACGGTAAAAATATAGCGTTACTGTGTAAATGAGATGTTAGTCTGCATGTGAACGGTTACTGTGTAAATGAGATGTTAGTCTGCATGTGAACGGTAAAAATATAGCGTTACTGTGTAAATGAGATGTTAGTCCGAAGGTGAACAGTAAGAATAGCCTTACGTTGAAAATTAGATGTTAGTCTGAATGCAGAGATTCGGCTTTAGTTTGAGTTGACGAAAGACTGTAGTAGTGAGCCCGAGTCCGTTTAATAAAATAATGTAGGTAGATGGACTCCAAAACGTCGAATGCTCAAATCAGTTATCGCCTAAGTGCGCTGTCCTATCTTTCTATCTAAATAAAACCCGTGGAAAACAAATATCTAATAACGAAACAATCGAAGCTGAAAATGACGTGATAAAGATACACTTAGTCAAAATAATAATTATGTCGCAGCTCACAGTATTTACCTATTTATTCATTGGTTGCTTTGTTTCTTTTTCTATCTATGTTTACTGTATTTCCCAGTCCCCATGTGATGTTGGGTCGTTCTCATACCTACATTATAAGCTGATTATATATTTATTCATTTTAGTTTGTGATGGTGAACTTCCAGCCAATGCGGTGTGTTCAGGAGAGAATAATAAAACTAAGCAATGTCAGTGTAAAAAGGGATATGAAATGAGTCTGGACATCGATTGTAAATCGAGAGGCTCGGTATTTTCCTGTCAGGGTAATGGTTCTATCTCCTATAGAAATTATTGCTGGAGTGGACAAAGGACGACATTTTTATTTTATTTTTTTATGAGTCTGGTCAACTTATCTACAGAAAACCTGGAAATCTTAAAGAGTTACACAAGACTCAAAGTTCAAAAAAGGCCTCATTAGTGTAGTGGCAATTTATTTCGGGCCACGCTCAATGCTGTTTACAGCCCTAGTCATGTATCTGCTGTTTTCTTCAGATATAGATGAATGTGCAACCAATAATGGATTGTGTGAAGATAAGTGTCAAAATGAACCTGGTAGTTATAACTGTTCGTGTCCAGAGGGGTCTGAATTACAGGAAAATGGTTTGAATTGTGGACCAGGTATAGTAATTATACATTATATGTTATATAGGGATATTACATAACTCAAGCGTGATATTTGTCCAAATTATCAAAATTTCTCACTTGCAGTAAACTATAGGGTAGAACATGCAAAACTTGGTATATTGCATTCCTCTTTTATGTTAAAATGTATTAGCAACAAAAATGTCGTAAATTATACCTTACAATATTTCTAAAGTATAATTATATCTATGTGTCTACTTGATCAAACTAAATTTGTTTAATATCGATTAAAATCGGAGAGTACTAGATGTTAACCTAGTTTCGACCTAATTTTGGTGTTTGGCTTTATAATGGCTCGATATTTACAGCTTTCGAGTTGAGCTCGAAGCTGTATTGTTTTCGGTAATTGCAGGGCGTTTGTTCGTTGGAAATTGATCTGTGACTAACAGGTCTAGTATTATTTGAAACTTTCGAATACGTAGGAGACATATTTTTATCTACAATATAGGCGGTTTTGTTTTACTTAAATCCATAGAGTATTTTTCTAACAATTTCCAAAAAGCATAACGAGCTTTTTTTATAAATAGTTTTGGCATTAAAAAATTAGCGGCTGGATTTATTTATTTAAAACTTTCAGATACATATTTTGGTGTATCTTTTTCACAAATTTGCGGAATGCTCCTTTCAGGGAACTCTGCCAAACGAGCATTATCTATTAGTATTGATGTGTAAACTTATGAAATGATATTTGTTGCCTTTCATATTATTTAGCCTTATGTTTCAGGCTACAATTCGTCATCTATACACTGGATCAACTGTTAACTTATTATAACTTATTTAAATATATATGTATATATCCCAGTGACGATCCTAAACTGATATCTTCACATTTTGTCAGGTCCCTGTATGTTCGAGAAGGTCACAGCAACTGGTTTAGCAAAAGGTTTCAACAGAATCTATATTAGCATTGAGAATGAAACAGAGTGTGAGAAGAAATGTAACACAACCGCTGAATGTACAGATTGGTTGCATTTAGGTGGATCCTGTCGAAATTACGGTCTTCCAATTATTCAAATCGAATATTTTCCTAACAAAGATTTGGATAAGTGCAAGAAACTTTGTGCGGAGAATAAAAAATGTGTAACTTTCTATTATAGTGCGATTTGTACTCTGTTTGACACGAAACAAACGGAATTTGATGATGATGATGAGTCAAGTGACATTTTCCACAAGATTGATATGAATTGTATTTAAATTTGGAAATAAATAGTTCATATTATTAAAACGAAATAGTAATTTATTTTGTTGTTACATGTTTTAATTGAGATAGGCGTCATAGGAAATTTCAATTTCAACATAATAAATATCTTGTCAATATATAGCAGAGTCTAAAAAAGGACGAGTCGTCATTTCAATTGTTGACCAACATGGGTTTAAGCATGTTCCTTTAGCAACCGTTGCTCTCACAATGCCATATTCTTGTTAATAATTTCGATTGGTCGAGAATATTATTTAATTTCATTTTAATTATTGATTGAACTATTTTCCTTCAAACTAAATTTTGCAAAAAATGTTTGAATAACCAGACACGAAAATTTGAAGTATTAAATTTACTTTCTTTTAAATCTCAAAGTTCATGGTTGAGTTGTTGTCAAATTGCCAAACAGCTTTTGATAGTCTTCAGAGCAAGAATGAAAATATCGTATAATATTCACATTCATTCCAAATGACTTGCGAATCAATGACTTGACGAAGCAAGTACGACTACGCAAATGAGTTATGCCCCCTCTCATTTCGTCGTTACTGGGGAAAATCATACCTGAAAGCTTTGAAAATTAATTTATAATGGAAGGAAGCGTTAGAATTTTTTTTATAAATATTAAGGGCACGTGTACCTTTCTGTAAAGTTTCACAACCAATACAAGCGGTTGGTGCGAATCTGCAAAAGTTTCCTATGATTCAATGAAGGCCGCCATTTTCAATCACCATCCAAATATTACGAGATTCCTGATTGGATATATCAAATGGTGACGTATAGTCAGCAAAGGGAGGTTGTTAGTCTCTTATGACGAGAATAAGGGATTGTTCACACAGCGGTTATATGTGAATAATCATTGTACCGTTTTATCAATTTTTTATCAGACGTCTATGTTTCCTGCAATTCCACTAAAACTAAAAGTTTGATGACGTCACTAGAGCCTTATGTGATATAAGCATATTTTGGAACCACGTCGACTTCACTTCATACAAAAATGCCACGATTCCCCCATTAAGTAAACTGCTTTGCATTTTAAAGAGTCGAAAGGTCGCCCCTTTTTGTCCGTTGACCCGGTCCAAGATGACACTTAGTCTCAATAGACTTATATGCACTGTTTTCATGAAAAAACAAAAACAAATTTCCAATCAAGCCAAACTTGTTGCAAATAATCCTTGAGTTGTTCTCTTTGACAATTGTTAATACAAGGGGGTATTAGAACAAGGGGGTATTAGAAAGAAAAGGGTTGAAAACCCCTGCCCTACACCATTTATATCACGTCTGCGGTTCCACCATTTATTTCAAACTGCATGAAATTTCGATGTTTTCCCAGTGCCTTTTCGGAAAGTCAGAACTTTTAATAAAATCCACATAATAAAACATACATAAAATGAAACAAATAATATAAAAAAAATCTCTTTTTTTCATACTCAAATATTGTCTTGGGCGTAAATCGACTTAATGCCTTAATTGAAAAGAGACTGTCGCTTCCTTACGTAAACTTTTGACTTGACAATCTTGTGTAATCAGATTTCTCATGTTTCAAAATGATTGATACTAGCAGTGAAATGAGGTTTCGTGTTAAACTTTTATCTTCAGCAATAACCAGTGATGGGTGGTATTCGTGGGCAATCACAGAACTTAGAATCGATTAACTTTTGGCATAGTAGTCAGGAATAATATCACAGTCGACATTTTCAGTATAAGAAACACATTTTCCAATCCAGGGGTTGTAGGTTTCATCGGCTTTACATGGTCTTCTCACATGTTCATTTACATTGTTACATTAATAGTAGTAGGTACAGTCCCCTTTCAACATATATACGACCCACGTCTTATTGCTCTGGTGCAGGTTACAGCGACCACTCTGGGTTATATCTACTCCCAAGAGAGCTGCTGCTACGACGAAGGTCAACACTGTACAAATCTTAAACCTGAATTAAAATTTCAAATCAATGCAAGTGGTTTATGTAGGTATTTTTAATGGGTGTTAGGTCTCTAATAAAGACGAGTTGCAATGTAATGTTGAAATGAAATAATCAGTGTTTGATTAGAAATCTTGCAATATTGGAATCAGATCTTCTTAACGACTTTAGTTTTATTGTTGATACAAAACAAAGAATGAATGAAACAAACTGAAAATTACTCTCATGATCAGTTGTAGCTTTCAGTAGATTACAAAGGTTTCAATGCTATCCACAGCAACAGAAAATCTCTCTGAAATTTTTTTTACACACAATGGATATATATGCAGTGCATCAACATAAACATTCGTCGTATTCCTTAAAGCTGACTTGCAGCTTAGTGAATTAATCTGACTAGTTGTTCAGTGAATAAAGTTGACAAGTTGTTCAGTGAATTAGGCTGCCTAGTTGCTCAGTGCTAAATGAATTAAGCTGTCTAGTTGCTCTGTAAATTAAGCTGACTAGTTGTTTAGTGACTAAAGATGACTAGTTGCTCAGTGAATTAACTCGCTCAGTGTGAGTAACGCTTACTAGTTGGTCAGTGAGTAAAGCTGATTAGAAACGCTACAAGTTAAGCTAACTAGTATCAAAGCACCAAAATGAATTTCAAGTTTGCCTTTATCAATAGGGAACACAACATAATAACATGCTAAATATAGTGCTCTATATAGAGTGAATTCAATAATTGTCGAGAAGTGGGGGAGAAGAATATTAAAATCTATAAGTAGAATTTTAACTGAAATATGGGATTAAAATTTGAGTCTGATGATAATTCAAACTTCTTCGATTACATTTAACTTGCTAGAATGTGACTGACATAAAATCACAAATATAAGAGATAATGGGGTACGATGCAATACGATTGGTATTGAGAATGCTACCGAATGCATCAAGTTGAGTTGACAATGTGTTTCGTATGAGTGAACATAGCCCACGACAGTGTTTATTAGTTGATCTCAAATCCAACTAAGTAAACAGATCAATAGACGCTGGGGCCCGAAATGACCAGAGAAAGAGAATGTCGGCTATTAACCTCAAGATATGGATAAGTAATTTTCTGTCAACTTTAAACCATCCAACATTGATGTATCGCATTCCGTTTTGAATCATTTTAAAAAATAAAATATTGAAAATGTACTATATGGGAGGCAACCAGTATTATTATATTTCTTATTTTTTCTAAAATTGTACAGTTTAAGAATTCATTAAATTGGTGATAATCGGTCGATTTCTGGCAATAATTTAATTCTATTGATGCCAAATAGAAAATCTCTTTATATGACTGGTGGATGGCAATACATATTATTGTATTTGTGTGAAAAGTCATGGGAACTAGAGCAATTGTAACGGGGTTCTTTCTTTGGAAGAGGATATATTAATAGACTAGCTTTATATATACAAGTTTATTTACAGACGTCATTTGATAACTTCATAATTCTGTTTGTAGAAACTCTTTAACCGTTCAAGTGAACAAAACTCCTAAGTCCTAGAAGTTTCCTTATTATAAAATATTAAATTTCCTATCTTTCCTGTTTGACTCAAACTGAACAACTGTGTGACACTGAGGTAACAAAATGAACATAAATGACAACTAATGAACACTAATGACTAAGACAAAATTCAATTAAAAACAACTCAGTACATATAAACAAACACAAGGACATACACCAACTGAGCAACATACACCAACTGAGCAACATACACCATACAACATATATAGACCAACTATATACACTATTACACTATCCCCCCCTCCAAAAAAGTGGCGTCCCGACACTTTAAACCAAGTACAACCGATTAAACTTTACCAACTTCCCGTAGAGTGAACTTGCAAGAGGTCTATTGAAATAATGGCTGGGGATGAGAAGTGAACACAAGGTAGGGTATATGATTTGAAATATAAATTGTTATTTATGTAAATATAATATGTACATACGAAGTTAAACAAAAACCACCCAATCACTATTTTTCATCCAATCTGGTTTCTTTCGATTTCTTTTTTTAGGAACTGGAAACGAAGGTTGAGGCTGAAGCGTGTTTTCCGAAGAAATGTCGTTATACTTACCTGAAGATGCTGGAGTCTCATCTATGGTTTGTGTGAAGTCTTGAGAGTCTGGAGGGGAAAAATTAGAAACAGTAGAAGAAGATCTGGGTTTAGGAATAGGTTTACCACTACTGCTAATTGGAAGTAAAAGATTTCTATGTAATGTACGTTGTGAATCTGTTCCTTGTTTTTGGACAATATAAACAGGAATACTAGTATCAGGTTTATCAACAACTGTGTAGGGAACATCTTCCCACTTATCTGCCAATTTCTGTTTCCCCCTTATGCTGACATTCCTTACCAATACCAGATCACCTACCGTTAGTGCTGATCCTCGTTGACTTACATCATATAACATCTTCTGTTTATGTTGTGCCAGACTGATATTATTTTGTACAATGTTGTAAGCTGATGATAACCTTGATTTCAAACGTTGTGCAAATAAAGTATGTGAAATGGTTGAATTATCTGATGAAATTCCAAACAATATGTCCACCAATAATTTAGGATGACGACCAAACATCAAGAAATAGGGACTGAAATTTGTTGTTTCATGTCGAGTCGAATTATATGCATATAGAAGCAACGAAACATGGTCTTTCCAATTGACTTTCTGTTCTGAAGTCAACGTACCCAACATATTTAGAAGTGTGCGGTTGAATCGCTCAGTTAAACCATTCCCCATTGGATGATATGGAGTGGTACGTGATTTTTTAATGTTCAGAATAGCACAAACCTCCTTGATAATTGAACCTTCGAAATTTCTTCCTTGATCTGAATGCAACCGCAAAGGAATGCCATAAGGAAGAATAAAGTTGTTAAGTAATGCTCTGGCTGTAGTCTTAGCAGATTGGTTTTTGGTGGGCACAGCAACAGCAAATTTAGTGAAGTGATCAGTAATCACCAATATATTTTCGATGCCACCCTTAGAGGCTTCAAGAGACAAGAAGTCCATACAAACGAGCTCCAATGGCTCAGACGATTGTATACTAACTAAAGGTGCACGTTCTGGAAGATT